AAAAATTAGCTGGCCATGGTAGCACTTGCCTGTGATCCCAGCTACTCCGAAGGCTGACTCATGAGAATCACTTGAACCTAGGAGGCAGAGGCGGAGGCTGCAGTGAGCCAAGATCGCACCACTGAACTCCACTCTGGGTGACATAGCAAGAATTTGTCTCAAAAAATAAAAAATAAAAAAAGAGAGAGAGAAAACTGTAGTTTATATCCCTCAACAAATAAGCCCAAAAGAACCTAAGGTTTCAAAAATTAACTTTCTTCAACTGCTCTTAATCACATTATGTCTTGCCTCTATCTGAAGAACCAAAGGCAAAAAGTAAATAATGAATTTGTTTTAGAGTAACCAAAACTTGGTCACTGAATATTTGTTGCGTGTACACCATATACTATAAGTCTAAGAGATTAAAAGTAAACTACATGGCCCCTTTCCTGGAGACAAAGGCTTTCCATTCCAAGTCTGCTAATCTTTATGTTTGTGCTTTGAAGTAAGAAAAGGATCCTTAAAAATCATTCAGGTCCCGGGCTAGGAAAGACCCCTTCATAGACAGAGTTTAGCATCAATTTCTTCCATTCTATTCCATGACACTCAAATTGATCACTTCTACGTGTAATTTAAAAAGGCCCTCCAGGGCTGGGAGTTCTCGCCTGTAATTCCAGCACTTTGGGAGGCCGAGGAGAGCGGATCACGAGGTCGGGAGTTCGAGACCAGCCTGACCAACATGGTGAAACCCCTATCTGTACTAAAAATAAAAAACTTAGCCAGGCGTGGTGGCACGTGCCTGTAATCCCAGCTACTCAGGAGGCTGAGGCAGGAGAATTGCTTGAACCCAGGAGGCAGAGGTTGTAGTGAGCTGAGATCACGCCACTGCACTCCAGCCTGGGCAACAGACTGAGACTCTGTCTCAAAAAAAAAAAAAAAAAAAAAGCCCTCCAAGGTAATTTTCTTGCATATATTAGGAGGGCAGAGTAACTTGCTTCATCAGGGCTACGAATTGCAAAAGAAAAAAATCAAAATAATGTATACACCCTCATGATCGCAAACCAAAGTTTTCACACTAAAAAATATGCTAGGCAAAGGACTAGACTCAATTAAATCTCAACTTTCTGAGATTACATTCCACAAAGATGAAAAGAATAAACATAGCAATTGTTCAGATTTTAAATACACAATCATGTAAAGTGCTGCAAGGACTTTAAAATGGGAAAAATAGATTTAACACTAGGACTTTTTAGGAAACAACTTACCTGTCTCAGGAATTAAAATCCTTTCCTAATTAAGATTGCTGATACCCTCTAAAAAACTAGAAACTCCAAGCAAACCCACCCTTCTTTAAAAAAAAAAAAAGGTAGTGTTGAATATGGTGCCAATTCTCCAAGTTAAAGGCTTGTACAAGGGAGGAAAAAAGTTTAAACGTGATGTAACTTTCACTGTTTTAACAATCAAGTTAAACTTGTTAATGCAAACCTAAATAAAAAGCAAGGTGTGTTCCCTAATGTCACATTTCTCTCCACAAGATACCTGTTTTATAAACCTCATGGGAAAACCAGTTGAATAATGCAAATTCTGACAGACCATTAGCTGTAATGCTTCAAAAGGTGCCCCGTAATACTAAACAGGGAAGAGCTTCACAAAGAAGAAAGTAAAGACAAAAGCCGAACTGTGACAGGTTCCTATGCCTCCTCTTCATTCTGACCAAACCCTAAAGAGACAGGATGTAATCTGTGTTTGATATCTTGATGTTTACAGTTCCAACCACCTCAGTACTGAAACACAAACATCTGATAAATCTTTTTCCAACAAGTCTGTGGAAAACTAACATCAGGCAAGCAAGTTTCCTTAAAATATTTCTCTAACAGATGATCTCCAAATCTAAAATTTCCAAATTACAATAAATACTATTTAAATACTATTTTGACTTCTTGCTTTTTAAAAATCCAGACAACTTTATTTCCAAAGGCTGGCCTCCTCGGTGTCAGATATTCTGTCAAAAAGTTACTTGAGATTAAAATCTACTTAAGGGTAACACTCAAATGCAATAAATGGTCCTTTATTAGACAGCGGTTAAGATAAACCTGCTCTATTATATGCTGGGGCTAAATGGGGAAATCTGAACATGCCCAGTTATAGATGATATTAAAAACCGAGCTAGCTGACAGAAAAAAAGGTCCTTATAGATGGTATATACATGTATCGCATATTTATTAAAACAAATATGTACATGCATAGAAAATTATCTGAAGTAATACACTGGTAATCTATGAATGGTGGCAATGTGTTCTTTTTCTATTTGTTTCCTTGTATTTTCTAATTTTCAAAAACGTACGTGTAACACTACTTGTATAACTTTTTAAGTCACTAACAGTTTCTTGAAGTCAAAAATCAGTATCGACCACGTGCCTATTACAGGCGAGACGCAATGGAAATCTGCTCGCACTCTCACCTAGTCCTACAAGTTTATTTAGTTCTTTCTTCCCCAACCCCCTAGGCTAAGCAACAAGACAATTCCTTGAACTCCAGCAAGTTTTCTCCCTCTGGTTTCACTCAAACTTATTTTTCATTGTTTTCCCTGTATACCTACTCTTTCAACCTTGCTAATATAAGCAAAGCACTGGTTTACAGGCAGAAAACCAGTCAAGTTTTCTGTGAAAACGGGAAATGAGAAGTGAGGCGGGAAGAACTAAGAAGGTGGGCTTTTATCCTTTTAAGTGGACACACATCTACCTTTGTTAAAGCTAAAATATATGTGCAGCCACCCAACTTTTACCAGAAAGCAGTCTGTAGTCTTAAAGATGGAGTCAAGTTCCAAGTTCTACCTCACTTTCAGACATTCTCATTATCTCTGCTAGATAGGAATGAAAAGAAATATGAGGAAACCTAACACTTAAACAGCTTGAAATTGTATTTATGCTACACATTAAAATGATAATGCCAAATAAGACACTTATAAAAGTATGCAAACTTTGAGAAAGACAGCAAAATACCAATCAGAACATCTGATTTAAAAGTGTAAGTAAATAAGATCTTTGGGATAAAAGGACCATAAAAATTCTGGGTTGCATGTACTTGCTAAGAATGTTACAGAACATTCCATTTATTTCCACTCATATGTTGCTTACCTACAACAAATTATCACATCAAAAGTGTTTAGTCAGTATAAATAAGGGTACTTTGAATGCTTCCTTTCTCCACCTGGAAGTGATTAAATCTTGATCAGTTGTGATTTGATCAAAATGCAACTTACTATAAAATCTCTAACCACTGGTGAGTCACTACCTAAATCAGCTTTCAGGGAAATAATTTCTCTGTATCTTAAAACTAGTTCATCAGCTTTGAAAGGTATTTGCCTTCAGCTACAAGTAGCAAGAGAGCTAGCCTTCACGGCTGGTGGAAAAATAGTTCATCTAATAAAAACCTTTGGGAAAGAACCCCCTAAGCACTCCCATTAATGGAAACCTCAGATACTCTCCTACTTTCCTGAAAAACGTACCTGTCTCAGGTCATTCACTGCAGCTGTCATTTTACGAAAGACAATTTAAATTCCCTCTTGGCCGGGTTAAATAGAGGGCGACAGCCCCTCGCCCCTGTCGAGGTAAGGCAGGGCGCCAGCCTTCTCGTTACTAGAAGGCAAGCTAAAGCTCCTTTTAAACGGCCTCCGGATGACGACGCCTTCCTAACGGGTTTCGAAGGCACGTTTAAATCGCCCGCTTTTTTGTTTGCTCTCTGCATTCCCCCGCGCCGGGACTGCGGCCGCCCCCGGACTGCGGCCGCCCCCGCGCGCTTTGGGTGGGCAACCCAGGGCCAGGGGATCCTGGGGCGGGGAGGGCCCGCGGTGCGGGGGAGACCTGAGACGCGCAGAACCGGTGTTGAGGACTCGAGGATGAGGAGCCCTGGTGGAAGGGTGGCGGAGTGGGGTGAGGAGGAGGGGTGAGAAGAGTGAGGATCCCAGCAAGGGGGGCACTTCAGGGTGGGGGGAGCTGGGCCGCCGCCCCGCAGTGGCGAACGCTTCGCGCGGCTCCCGCCGCCCGCCGGGGAATGCGCAGGGCCGCGGCTCCGCGGGGCGCCGCCCCCTCCCTCTCTTCCATTCCTCCTCCTCCTCCTCCTCCCTAGGCGACAGAAACAACAGCGCGGGAGGAGGGGAAAGTAACTCCCGGCACCTCCGCCGGAATTAGCCCCGGTGCAGTGATGACACCTTCTCGTGGCGCAACCAAGCCCCACTCCCTCCGCAGCGGCGTCCCCGCCGCCGCCGCCCTCTCCATTTGAAAGTGGCCACCCCCCGCCGCCGCCGCTCCTCCCGCCCCGCCGCCGCCAGCTGCACCAATCCGCTCGGCCCCAGTTGCAAATCAAACGCTCCCTCGCGTCCAGAAGCCACTTGCGCCGCTGGAAACGGCCGCGACGTCCCCCTCCCCGAGTCCCTCCGGGGCGGCACCTTCGGGCTGGGGCCGGCGCGCCGGCGAGAAACGGCTTTAAGATGGGAGCGGCGGCGGCGGCGGCGAGGAGCTCCAAGCGGGCTCGGCTCCCGCTCCCGCTCCCGCCCCCAGACAGTTCTGGAAACTGTGTATCACCTCTGTCACAGGAAGCCATCCGGCGAGGAAGGCGGCGCGGAACCAACAAACAAACGCCTGCGGCCGCCCGCCGGAACCGGCTCGGGGACGCGTACGGCTTCAGGCCGTTCCCGGGGCGGGGGCGCGGCACCACCCCCTCGCCGCGGGCTTTGTGCGGGGCAGGCGCGACGGGCCGGGCGTCCCCGCCCCCGCAACTCCCCCACCTCGGCCCGGGCGTCGTAGCTGGGACCGTTAGCTGACGCTCCGGCCGCGGCTGAGAAGCGCCGCCTCGGCCGCCGCCCGCCCGCATTTCCACACTGGGCCGCCTCTCCTCAAACGCCAGAGGCGGGCTACAAAAGTTGGCCCCGGGGCCACCCAGCACCTGCCCACGTGCCGCGGAGGCTAGCTCCGGAGTCTCCCCCAGTTCCCTCCCCCCGCCGCCCTCGGCCGCCAGGTCACCTATTACCGGTGGGAGGGGAGAGAGGCTGCTATTTAAACGCCCGCGGAAGTTGAGGCACCCCCACTGGCGGGTGCCGTGCACCTGCCTCCCGCCGCCGCGCTCCGCCACTTTGAGCAGCAGCCGCGTCCTCAGCCCCGCCTCCAGCCCGAAGGCGGGCGGGGGGGAGCGGGAAGGAGGTGGAAGGGATCGAATTTCTCCAGCAAATGGGACCGTTCCGACAGGATTCGGTTCCCCGGTCAACATTCCACATTCCATCCCTCTCCCGCATTTGCAAACCAATGCCGAGCAACCCGGAAAGCCTGCTGGCTACCGAACAACAGCCCCCAACTCGCAAACACACACTCACAGGCACAAGACACGTGCACTGAAGGGCTCTGCAACTTGCAGTCCCGGGGTACACACTGCAACTGCACATTCATTTAAGGAAGCAAGGAGACCAAGAGACCCCTCCCCCACAATTTGCAGACGGTGCCAAAGGTTGCAATTTGCAATCCGCTTTAAGTTCGTGATTAATCGGTACTTTGCTCTACCAATGCCAACTCCTACCCCATTTCATCGATGAAAGGGTTTTACACTTTACAAGCAGTCGCGCTGTAAGTAAAAGGTCTGACCACTGGAAGCCCCAATTCGGAAGAATCTAATTGCCAAGCTGTCTCTCTACCCCCCAACCCCCTCTCACTGCCCTTGAATTGATGCAATGAATATTTTGGACATGAGGTGACGCGCTGACAAGAGCCAGGGCTGCGGCTACCACACACAGATGTACCTACACACACCTATGTCTGGACAAATACAGTCCCACCACACACATGGTCTCACACACTCTGGATTCATATATGTACGCGAACCTGCGTTCTGCCATTGCCATCTGTCTACCAAGTTGCTACTATGCTTTCCACTTTCATGCAGCCTAATGCACTTCGGCTTTCCCAAAAAAAAAAAAAAAAAAAAAACCCTATAAACTAAAGCCAACTTAAAACTGGGCTTCTGCTCCTGAATGCGTTTAATTGATGATTCACCTGAAAACCGCATGTTCTTCGCAAATCCAAAAGAAGAAATAGTTCTAAGTCTTCAGCCCCCCCAGATTTGAAAAAAAAAATCATAATAAAACTTACTGATCCAACATAGATCAATTCTCAGGATCCAAAAATCATCCTCTCCTCCTCCTCCGGCCCCCGCCCCGGCAATGCCCAAGTTACTGGTGGGATAGTAACGCTGCGCTCGGCGGCGGCGGCGTCCCTCCCTCCTCGCTACATATCGAGAACCCAATCTTTTGGCGCCATATTAATGACGTACTATATTATTTCCACTAGGCAGCGACCTTCGGCATTAAATTACTCCCGAGAACTCCCGAGCAAAGCAACAAAACCATCAAATATGGCTGAGCCTCTCGGCTCGTCCTGAAGCCGCCGCCGCCGCCGCCGCCGCCGCCGCCGCCGCGGGACCCGAACGCGCACACGGACCCACGCGCGGACACACGCGCGGCGCGCCCACCCCGCGCGCCCCCCGCGGCTCGCGCGCGTACCTGCTGCGGTGGGGTTCGGCCGAGGCGCTGGGCTAGGCGCCGCTCGATAGCTCGGAGCTGCATGAGTTCGGGCCCCAGCGGGCGGGCGGGCGGGGAGCCGGGCGGGCCCCTGCTCTCGCCGGCGCGCACACACCCGGCACTCGCGCACAGAGGCACTCTCGGGCTGGCGTTTGGCTTGTTATGGAGGAAGGACTGTGTGAATCAAACTCATTTCTGGGTCACTGCTGCCACAGGGGGGAGCACTTTAATCCCTTGCCAAAACGAGAGGGTGGGGACGGGAGGACGGAGGGAGCAACGCGGGAGCCCGCGGTGCGGGGGGCTTGGTCCATCGTTAACTCTTCGCAGCCCTCGCCTCAGCCGACTCGGCCTGCGCCAGTGGGTGCTCGCAAAGAATGGCACTGTTCAGGTCTTAAAATCTCTTTCCTTGCTTCGCCCACCTTGTGAGCCTAGAAATTCTTGAGGTGTCTCCAAGCAGGAAAGTGGGTTTTTAAATTAGCCCCTTCAAACTGCTGTCCCAATTTCAACTCTTGTCTGACATCTAGAAATGGATTCTTTCAAATTAGTTTAAAATAACGTATATTAAGATGTGTAATTTGAGTGAAAGGTTTTATTTTTAGGCTGAGTGGCAAAATAGTTCTTTGTAGTAACAGTTTTAGGGAGTTGCACATTAGAATGACATTTTTAAATACAGATAATCCAATTCTGAATAACATCTTTACCTAAATTTGTATGGAAGTGATCATTGCAAATGAGCATTAATCCATTAGAAGATACTGATTATTTATAAATTGACACCACCTTTATGTTACACATTACTACAGAATTGGAAATCTCCCAAATCTGAGGCGTGAGCCTAATGCTAAAACTAGAATTACAGACTAATATGAGATCAGTCATCAGAGATTGATTTAGGGGTATCTACGTGTACAAATGAATGGTTACCGATTTTCTGCAGAAGACAAACTTGCTTTTTTTCATATAAAGGCAACATAATTCTTTAATGAATTCGCCTAGGGAAATACAGGAGTATGTGGCATTCAGCTTGAAAAGGAAAAAAGTACGGATTAAAAACTCCCATTCAGTAAATAAACAGTGATCACTAATTGCAAAATTGAATATCGAACCCAAAAGGCATATCTATCTACAGAAAGAATCTGTCTGAATATATCAGGTTTGATTTCACACAATCCCACACCAACCCATCCACCCACATCCATTATAATCTGATAAAAGCAACAAAACAAAACAAATTGAGTCTTTCAGTTATTTTTCAGAAAACAAAGTAAGCCAATGGAAATCCTAAGTACTGTATATGTCCTCTCCTGTTTTACTAATGAAGAGTAGAAAGACTCCCTGCCAGTCCTATTCATGTTTTCACTTAATCATGTTCAAAGCAATCATACATGTAAAGCACTGTGTTAACTATCATTATTATTATTCTTAGTATTGCACTTCAGTTATTGTTATTTTGATTGGTTCACCTCGCACATACCCTCTGCAGAAGTTAAAGTACACAGGCTTTGTAGTCAGACGTGATGGAAACTGGCTCTGTTGGTTACCAGTTTGTGTACCTGTGTGATAAATAACAACTTTATCTGAGCCTCAGTTTCTTCCCTGGTAATAAAATAAAGTTAACAGCTGGCCCCTAACCTGAAGGGTTGTTAAAAAGAGTCAGGTAACCGCTTAGCAGTTCAGGAGTAGAGGCCCTGCCAGTAGGAGGTTGTCTACTCCCTCAGTCATCATTCATTTCTTTCTTGGTTTTCTCTCTATCAAAAATCGCAACTTTTCTTAATTCCAAACAGCCTTACTTCACGCATTCTTAAGAAAATTTTTAACTCACATTTGCTGCTTACTCTTTTATTTGCTTTTTCTATGAAAAATATCAGGCACCAACAAAAGTATTGAATAAAATAGATGACAAAAATAAAGGGATGAAATGGCACACAAACTCCCCACACTGATACACTGAACAGGACTGAAGGTGCCATGCAGTCTCAATTATGCCATGGCTTCAGAATACTCATCTACTGAGACAGTGCTATGTGCTACGAATAGCCCTGGTCAAGAAGTCAGGAGACTCCCACCAACTCCCAATATGACTCTTTGGGCTTTAGTTTTCCCACTGAGATGATAGGAAAACAGTATCTAAGGCCCTTTTCTCTTTAACATTCAGTCATTTCTGATTTTCTTACCAAACTTAGAAACGTGATGAATATTTGAAGAAATGATGGACAACTTGAATCCATAGGGACATGTAAAAATATTTTGTCTTCAATGATCAGCTGTTGGCATTTCTTAAATAACAGGTGTCTCTTGCCATCAGACCACAAAGAAAACTCCTATAAACCTATTTCTAAAATGGGAAAGGCAATGATATGGTTTGTCTTGCGGCAGCACAGATAATACAGCCTAGAATAACAAGTACTAAGCTGGCAATTAGGAAAACAAGTTTCTGATTCCACTCTGTCACTTACTGTCTTACCTTGCCAAATCGTTCAGGATCGCCATTTCCTAGTCTTTGAAATGGTTCTTTTAATTCACACTTTATTATCAGAGATGAAAAAACATTAAAAAATATAGCTACATGGTAGTCAATGTAATTGAAATATCAAGATTCTAGTCTTTCCTAATCCCATCAATAGTTCATGGTGATAATTACAATTCAATATATCCTGTGTATTCTGCTGTAGTCATATACAGTTTAATTATCTTCTTCCATAATAATGGATTTTTATAAAAGAAAAATTTGGATATTTATATTCATATTCCTGATTTTGAAACCAGATATGATTAAATCTCTGAATGTTTACTTAGTCAATTCATTTCATCTACTTCTCTGTAGGTAAAGAATTATAAGGCCGTGATAGAAGATTCAGAATTTTTCCTATTTGAAATGAAGGGATGCATCCACTAAAGTCCTGTATTAGCTCATTCCTTTAGGGAAATGAGCCAGAAATTCTTACTGGCAAATACCACTGTCAGTTGGTATACATTTCAACGAGATAATTTTTTTTCAAGATGGAGGTCTCACTCTGTCACCCAGGTTGGAGTTCAGCAGTGCCAACATGGCTCACTGTAACCTCCACATCCAGGGCTCAAGCAATCCTCCCACCTCAGACTCCAAAGTAGCTGGGACCACAGGCACAAACCACCACATCTAATTTTTTTGTTTGTTTGTCTGGGTTTTTTTTGAGACCAAGTCTTGCTCTTTCACCAGGCTGGAGTGCAGTGGCGTGATCTCAGCTCACTGCAACCTCCGTCTCCCAGATTCAAGCGATTCCCCTGCCTCAGCCTCCTGAGTAGCTGGGACTACAGGTGCGTGCCACCACACCCGGTTAATTTTTTGTATTTTAGTAGAGACAGGGTTTCACCATAGCCAGAATGGTCTCAATCTCCTGACCTCATGATCTGCCTGCCTCAGTCTCTCAAAGTGCTGGAATTGCAGGTGTGAACCACTGCATCCAGCCCGTTTTTCATATTTTTTGGTAGAGACAGGATTTCACCATGTTTCCCAGAATGGTCTGAAACTCCTGAGCTCAAGTGATCTACCCTCCTGGCTCTCCCAAAGTGCTGGGATTGCAGTCGTGAGCCACTGCACCTGGACCTAGAGAGAATAATTTTTTTTTTTATTCTCCAAGGGCTATCCTGGATAAAACGGGTTGAATCCTAAAAGTTTGTTTGCCTATACTTTAATTTTTTGTAACTTTGTGCCAAAAATAACTCTTGTTAATAATGAGGGCTTAGATTGTCAAGTCAGCTTTAAAAATAATTTTAACAACTAAATTGTAGAAAATAATGACTTTTGGCTGAGCACAGTGGCTCATGCCTGTAATCCAAGCACTTTGGAGGATAAGGCGAGCAGATCACCTGAGGACAGGAGTTCAAGACAGCCTGACCAACATTGTGAAGCGCCATCTTTATAAAAAATAAATAAATAATAACTTTTTCTTTTTCAGTCTGGTATAATGGCTCATGCCTGTCATCCCAG